GAGGTTCTCCAGTAAGCAATGCAAGCAGTTGTCTTTACTACTGTGTGAACACTTGCTTGTGCACTTGTTGTAGACCCTTTGGCTCTACCGAACCTCACTCCGTCTAAGTCAACCTTCAGTCTGAGGAGTCCCTTTCAGTGGTAGGGGACCGAGATTCGTCATACGTTGCTTACTCACTTTGGTCACTGTCACGGACTTGACTGAAGGCACGACTGTCGACATGCCACCTGCCAACACCAACACCACCAACCCACCCCCCAACTACAACGATGCTCAGGGAGCGAACACCCCTGTTACCATGGCCCAGGTTCAACAGCTTTTGAACCAGACCAACAATCGCATCGCCCAGTTGGAGGCCGAGAACGAACGTCTCCGGCACTCTACCAACAGAGCCAAACTGGAGGCGCCACCCAAGTACAACGGCAGCAAGGACGAGCTGGCCGGATGGCTCGTTCAGATGCAGGCATACCTCACCTACTATGTCGACCGTTTTCCCAATGAGGCTGCCAAGGTTGCATTTGCTGCGCACCGACTTGAAGGAAAAGCACTTCGGTGGTTCGAACCAACGCTCAAGGACTTCCTGGAGAATCCAGACCGAGCTGATCAGGAAGACTTCACCCAGCACGTGTTCCAGCGTTACGGACGGTTCGAGGAAGAAATCCGCAAGGTGTTTGGAGATGTGGATGAGAAACTGCATGCCCAGGAGCGACTTGCGCAACTCAAGCAGACCAAGTCGGCTTCGACCTACGCCACCCAATTCCGACAGGATTCCCTGCGAGCCGGAATCCATGAAGAAGGCTTGATGCAGTTGTTCTACGACGGACTCAAGGAGGAGGTCAAGGACGAGCTCTACAAGACCGACCGTCTTGACACTCTCGATGAATACATCGCCATGGCCATGAAGGTTGACGATCGCCTGTATGCGCGCAAGCAGCAACGCAAGGGCAAGGGAAACGCGCCACCGACGTACAAGGCCAACGATCGAAGGCCGCGGCGGGGCAACACGTCATACGGCACTCATCCAGGACGGATGGACGTGGATGCCGCCCAAGCTCAATGGGCTGGACCAAGCAATACCAAAAAGAAGGACAAGCCCGATGTCACCTGCTACAACTGTGGCAGGAAGGGGCACTTCAAGAAGGATTGCCAAAGCCCAAGAAAGGACTGGAAGCCTGTCCCAGGGAAGGAAGTTGCGACCGTCACTCGAGGGGCAAGGGTTACCGAGGTCGCAGCTGCGAGCTACATTCGTGGCGACCTCGAGCACCACCTGAACCCTGTCCCTGAGGAAGGACCCTCGGAGGTGGACGACACTGGGGAAGTCGCACCCCCGGCACACGTCCAGGAAGTGGCCCGGACGTGGGGGATCCCATTGGTCCAAGACGCGGATGGACGATGGAGGACCCGCAGTGCAAACGATGAGCAGGAAGGACCGAACGTCGCCTACCTGCAGAAGCGAGTAATCGAGCTTCGAGAACGCAACGCTGAACTCGACAATGCGGTTCACGAACTCGAGCGGTGACTCAATGAGCAAACATGAATGCACAATTCCAGCACGGATTACGACGGACCTCCGACATGGGGTTTCGAGCATGAGACGCTGGAGGGATTGCGCCAACCCGAGACTGAGTACAACGAAATGTGGGAGCGCGAGCGGTGGACGAAGCGCACGCCACCCACGTGGGAAGAATACTGGCAACGACGTCAGTACATCAGCATCGGTCAGACCACGCAAGAAGTCGAAGCACAAGGATACGGACCAGACTTCGTCTACGTGATGGGAGATGCACCACAACTTTGGATGAAGACGAACAACCATCGCTATGTCCCATGGTTCGAATGTGTGGACCATCACTGTCGATACCACTTCAAGGACAAGCACGACTTCAACCATTGGCCGATTCGGGGAACAACACCCCAAGGGTTGCTCAAACCCGTACCATGGACGTTTTATCATAGACGAGGAAACGACGACGACTTGTAGTATGTAGCTAAAGTTAAAAAAGGAACAATTAGAGTGTAGCCACTTCGTGTATAGCTAGTAGTATGCTAGATATACGATAGCTATAAGCTATGTAGGAATGCAACCTGTGTAAGGTATATTGCTGAGAAGGTTCGAGAGTTCTATAAGTGGTAAGCTTAAGGATAGAGCTTGTACCTAAAATATCGAAAAAGGTGGACGAACCCTTAGTGGGAAACAGTATACGTTGAATGGCTCTAGGAGTGTGTTACGCTGAACGATGACCTAGAGGAAGAGGATGCCTTTCCTGAATAGGAGTAGTCGACCGAGCTACGAACCTAGTTGGAAAACGGCTTAGGGCCCTTCGAAGGGCTTGGAAGCGCTTAAACCCTGGATAGAAACGACAGGCCGCGCAGTGCAGGAAGAGCTGGCGTAGACGAAAGGCCTACTTCGACCCGCCAATTGAGTGGCTAGGGATCGAGCGAAACTCCAAGGAAGTTGCAGCAACGCACACAGGAAAACCCGACAACCGATTGTGGGTTACAGCACGCTGGAAGGATTTCCAGGCACTTGCATTGGTAGATGGAGGATCACAACTCGACCTCATCTCACCCA